AAACATCAACTAGAATATCCCCTAAACCCGATGCCACAAGTGCATGGGCATTTACTAAGGAGTACAACAATAATGCAACATATGTCTATAAAGTAAATAGTACGACGGAGGCTCTATGGGCTGCGATATGTAGCCAGGAATACAGCTCTCCATAAATTCTCCTTAGCAACTGCGCCTATGCGCCCAGATGACCACCAAGTGGACCTGTCAGATCCTGCACATTTAGTGCAGAAGTGTAGCATCACTACATAAATCAACACGTACCCTGTAAGTATCTAGCCTAGCCCTAGAGAAGTAGTTGTAACACCCCGTAAATTCAGCTTTGGTGTAAATGTGTTAAATGAGTAGTAAAGTTCTATTTTGGTTATGTGAAGTTCCATTGGTATGATTATGGGTGGAAATAGTTATTTTAGAATCAAGGTGAAGAGTGAGGTGTACAAGATTCGATAAAATCTACGAAGTTTACAAAAGATCAGTCTTGCAGGAGGTTTAGTGAAAAACGTGTAAGGTATTTGGGAAAACTCAAAACACGAAAGTTGTAGGCCTTTGAAATATGCGCGCCCTGAGCGTGCCCCGAGCGTGGCCGCACTCCTCCTGTGGCAGTGTTACTGCCATTTTGTGCGGTCAGGTGCGCGGGGGCGCTCATGGGGGGGTCATTTTAAAGCCATACTTCGTCCCCCACAGCCCCAAAACATAAAAACTTGCTCTAGAAAGGGGAAGTCCCAAAAACCTAACTCCTTAAGGGTCCCTCCACCACCTAAGGTAAGTTCTAATGGTGATTCTAAGTTAATTTCAATTTCCCAACATCTTATTAATTGGGTAAACCCTCCATATCATTATATATTCGATTGGGACATCATTGTTGAGAGAAGGAAGCCTTGAACTCGAATTCAAAGAGTTTGAACTTCAAAAAGGTAATGTCTTCACCCTCTAATTGATTCTAGAATTGGTTTAATTATTATAAACCCTAGTTCATGAGATATGAGTTGATGGGTTTGATAGAAAAACATGAACGATTATAGGTTTTGGGTGTTGATTGTTGAATATTGGTTAAGGGTGTTGTTTACCTTATGGGTGATAAAGAATAATGTTGATTATAATCATTTCAGACTTTAGAATTTATCTAGGAGCAAGGGATGGGTAATTGAGTGTAGAGACACCATAAATAAGGACTATGAAGCTTTATTCTCACTAAGTGTTTGATAAGATGCTTAATTGACCGAAACATGAGCATCATAGCTAATATGGAATTCCTTTGACATGTATTGCTATATATTAAAGTTGAAAGGGTTGGCAAACGTTGTATTACGCTCAAGATCAGGAAGTTAAGGTATGTGAGGCTAACTGTCTATGTATAGGAATGTTAATAATTCTCCCAACATTTTGTTTCTTTTCCCACGTTACTAATTGCCTCAGAAATATAGTATAGCCTAATTCCTTGTAAAGTTGTAGAACTTCTATTCTCTAGCTTCATAACTCGTTCATGACTTTCATTCCGAACGTTGTGAGCTCAGTTCGTATTCAATATAGACTCGGGCTTGATGTCCCTAAGTCTCAGTATAGCTTACTCAGCATGTCATAAACAGTGAAAGTTTCAATGTTCATAATCAGTTCAAGAATACATGTCTCAGTCTAGTCCTATTCAGTATTCCAGTATTGTATAACTCGGTGTGATTCAGCATTTCAGTATCATGTATTGCAATATGATTCTCAGTTCCTGATTTTATATTCTTGAATGTTACACACCTGTATTTGGGCCTGTGGCCGCAGTTTATGCTTTATGCATCTTTGGGCCTGAGGCCGCAGTTATGTATACGTATACTTGGGCCCGAGGCTGTAGTTGTGCACATATATATATTGGTCCTAAGGCCCCAGTTTAATATTCAGATAAACAGGTTGTTCATCATTCAGAAGAGGGAGTATTCGTAACCTTACTTCCTATGTTTAGTTCAGTTATCAGTTACTAGTTATCAGTTATCAGTTATTCCTTTCAGTTACTGTATTTACAGTTCTTTCCTTCAGTTGTTTTGCATACCAGTGTAATTCAAATGTACTAACGTCCCTTTTTGCTCGGGGCCTGCATCTCGCGATGCAGGTAGCGATTTACAGGTTGATGATTCTGCTTGCTAGGACATCTCGTATCAGCTATCGGTCGGCCCCAGTCTTTCAGGGCATTATCCCTCCCTTTTTCAGTCATTATTGTATTTCCGTTTAGAAGGTATACCGGGGACCTTGTCCCGGTAAACAGTTAGCATTTTCAGTATTCTTTAGAGGCTTCGTAGACTATAACCCAGTCAGTCAGATATTAGCAGGCTTTTATGTGTTAGCCTTGTCGGCTACTTGTTTATACTTGCAAACCTTTCAGTATTTTCCGCATCTATGATATTTCAGTCAGATTATTTTGTAGATTATCATGTCATATATTTACCTCTAGCTTATAGTTATACCACATGCTGATCCAGCCATACTGTTGGTTCGCTCGGTCACATACAGTCAGGTACCGAGTGTCGTGTTACGCCCAGGCCATGGTTTGAGGCGTGACAAAGCTTGGTATCGGAGCCCTAGGTTCAAGAGTCCTAGGGAGTCTATGAAGCCGTGTCCAGTGGGGTCTTTTTTATGTGTGTGTGCGCGCCACACGTGTAAACAGTTGACCACCAAGATATCTAGGATTGTTCCATTTCTTTCATACTCTAAATCGTGCAGTTAGAGCTATGCTTTCAGGAATCTTTCTAACCTATGCGAATTGCGTATTTCAGAAAAAAATGCCTGCAAAAAGAAAGTACACCAGGAGGACCTCAACTACTAGCCAGGGGGCCACAACTAATGCTGCTCAGGAGGAGGACACTCCGGCCCAGGGGGTTGCATCGGGCCCGGTGCCCAGTGCTTCAGACATGAATGTTAGGGGAGCTATCCAGTTGCTCACCCAGATTGTTGCTACTCAAGCTCAAAGGTAGGGATCAAGTGATGTTCATGAGACGGGTAGTTCCAGGTCTAGGGAATTCCCCAACATCAAACCTCCTATCTTCACAGGGTCCAAAAAGGATGAGGATCCGTAAAACTTCATTGATGAGGTTCAGAAGATATTTCGAGTGATGCATGGTACAAACACTGAGGCAGCAGAGCTTGCTGCGTACCAGCTGAAGGATGTTGCCAACACTTGGTATGAAACATGGGAAGAGTCCCAAGGGGAGGATGCGGCTGCTGCGACTTGGAAAGAGTTTGTAAATGCGTTCCTTGAGCATTTTCTACCCATTGAGGTCTTGGAAGCTAAGGCTTTGCAGTTTGAGAGACTCAGACAGAATGATATGAGTGTGAATGAGTACTACCTCAAGTTCGTCTCTCTGGCCAAGTATGCTTCGGAAATGGTACGTGATATGAGGGCCAAAGTTAGGCGGTTTGTGTTGGGACTTTCAGATGATTTGTTTGCTGATGCTAATATAGCTACTCAAAATAATGATATGACCATCACTAAGATTGTTGCCGTTGTTCAAGGGAACGAAGACAGGTTGAAGGAAGAAGAACGGCTACAGAGAGAGAAGGAGAGGGAATTCAGCAAGAGAGCTAAGTCTGCAGGAAATTTCAACCATGGGGGATCTCAACCAGGAGGCAATCGCAAGTTTTTCAAGTAATCAATATCAGGACCTGCTCTATATTCAGCTAGTGCACCAGTTCAGAGGTCAAAGTTTAACAAGAAAAACTAGAATTTCAGAACAGCAGACTCACAGTCACAGGCTAGTGTGGGCTACAGAGTCCCTGGTTACCCTATTTGCAATACGTGTGGTAAGAGGTACCCAGGGTTGTGTCGTTCGGGCACAAATAGTTGCTTTGGATGCGGTCAGCAAGGCCACTTCTTGAGGGTTTGTCCATCGGCAATGCAAAACAATGGAGGCAATGTAGCTCAGTCCACTAATTTAGCAGCCCATCATAACTTTCAGGCCCAACAAGGGCGTGATGCAGCAAAGTCTAGTCATGCAGGCATTGGTCGAAGCCGCTTGTATGCACTGGTAGGCCGTCAGGATACAGAGGCTCGTGGAGATGTTGTCACAGGTATGCTAACAATATTCACTTTTGATGTCTATGCTCTTATAGATCCGGGGTCCACCCTATCTTATGTTACTCCATATATTGCTAAGAAATTTGGGATAGAACCAGAAAAGTTGTGTGAACCCTTTGAAGTGTCCACTCCAGTTGGAGAATCAGTTATAGCAAGGTGTGTCTATAGGGGATGTCCAGTCAAAGTGTATCATCGTCTTACTGTAGCAGACTTAGTGGAATTAGAGTTGGTAGACTTCGATGTGATCATGGGAATGGATTGGTTAGAGTCATGTTATTCCATAGTGAGTTGTAGAACCAAAAAAGTAAGTTTTGAATTTCCCGGTGAACCAGTCTTTGAAAGGAAAGGTGATGCAGTAACACCTAGGGCTAGGTTTATTTCCTATCTTAAAGCCAGAAAGATGATCTCCAAAGGATATATCTATCACCTGGTTCGAGTTAAGGATGCAGATGCTCAGATTCCCACTCTCCAGTTGGTGCCAATTGTAAATGAGTTCCCGGAAGTGTTTCCCGAAGATCTCCCTGGAATCCCTCCAGATAGAGAGATTGACTTTGGAATTGATCTACTTCCAGGCACGAAGCCGATATCTATCCCACCTTATAGAATGGCTCCAGCAGAGTTGAAAGAGTTAAAAGTCCAGTTGAATGATCTTCTAGATAAGGGATTTATAAGGCCAAGTGTCTCACCTTGGGGCGCATCGGTCTTGTTTGTCCGAAAGAAGGATGGGTTGTTGTGTATGTGCATTGACAATCGTCAATTGAATAAAGTCACCATCAAGAACAAGTACCCTCTTCCCAGAATAGATTATTTATTCGATCAACTTCAGGGTGCCTAGTGTTATTCCAAGATTGACCTCAGATCGGGATACCATCAGTTGAAGGTTAATGAAGTTGATATTCCAAAAACAGCTTTCAGGACTCGATATGGGCATTTTGAATTTTTGGTAATGTCATTCGGTTTAACGTATGCACCAGCAGCTCTCATGGACTTTATGAATAGGGTCTTCAAGCCTTATCTTGAGTTGTTCGTTATCGTGTTTATTGATGCAATCTTGATTTATTCTCGTAGCGAGACTGACCATGCAGAACATCTCAGAATTGTGTTGCAGACACTGGAGGATCACAAGCTATATGCAAAATTTTCTAATTGTGAATTCTGGTTGAAATCAGTAGCATTTTTGGGCCATGTCATCTCAGGGGAAGGCGTGAAGGTGGACATTCAGAAAATAGAGGCAGTGAAGAATTGGCCTAGACCCACCTCACTATCCGATATAAGAAGTTTCTTGGGTCTAGCAGGCTATTATAGGCGTTTCGTAGATGGATTTTCTTCTATCTCGTCCCCTTTGACTAGATTAACTCAGAAGAAAGTCAAGTTTCAATGGTCGGACGCGTGCGTGAAAAGTTTTGAGGAGTTAAAGAAGAGGCTGGCTTCAGCTCCAGTCCTGACACTACCGGAATGAACCGAAGTGTTCGTTGTTTATTGTGATGCTTTAGGGGTTGGTCTTGGGTGTGTATTAATGCAGCACGGTAAAGTCATAGCCTACGCGTCGAGACAACTCAAGGCTCACAAGAAGAATTATCCAACTCATGATCTTGAATTAGCAGCTGTGGTGTTTGCGCTTAAGATTTGGCGCCATTATTTGTATGGGGTATATGTTGACATTTTTACAGATCACAAGAATCTCCAGTACATCTTCAAGCAAAGAGAATTAAGTCTGCGTTAGAGAAGGTGGCTCGAATTACTTAAAGATTATGATGTTGATATCCTCTATCATCCGGGGAAAGCAAATGTTGTAGCCGATGCTCTCAGTCGACGTTCTATGGGAAGCTTAGCTCATGCTGAGGCAGACAAGCGAACTATGATGAAGGAAGTCCACCGCTTAGCATGTCTAGGAGTTCGACCTTTGGACTCCGAAGATGGTGGCGTTGTTCTCCAGAACAGGGCTGAATCCTCCTTAGTAGCCGAAGTAAGGGAAAAATAGTTCAGTGATCCCTACTTATTGCAGCTGAAAGAGGGAATTCACAAACACAAGACTATGGCTTTTGAACAAGGGGGAGATGTTGGTACTTTGAGGTACAGAGGTAGACTATGCGTTCCAGACGTAGATAGGCTCAGAGAGCGGATTATGTCAGAAGCCCACAATTCCAGGTATTCTATTCACCCAGTTTCCACAAAGATGTATCATGATCTTAAGGAGGTTTATTGGTGGAACGATATGAAAAAGAATATAGCAGATTTCGTGGCTAAGTGTCCAAATTGTCAACAGGTGAAAGTCGAGCACCAGAGACCTGACGGTTTAACTCAGAGTATAGAAATTCCCGTTTGGAAATGGGAGATGATAAACATGGACTTCATAACAGCTCTAACCCGCTCGTTTCGGAAGCATGATTCGATTTGGGTGATTGTAGACCGACTCACCAAGTCAGCTCACTTCTTGCCAGTGAAGACTACAGATTCGGCCGAGGATTATGCCAAGTTATATATCAAAGAAATTGTCCGATTGCATGGGACTCCTTTGTCCATCATCTCAGATCGTGGTGCTCAGTTCACATCGAACTTTTGGAAATCCTTTCAGAATAGATTGGGCAAAAGGGTGAACCTCAACACCGCTTTTCATCCTCAAACAGATGGACACGCGGAACGCACCATTCGGACTCTTGAGGATATGTTGAGGGCGTGTGTTATCGATTTTAAAGGTAATTGGTGTCACACCTCCTTTTTTTACACACCTACCCCGAAGGATAATGTATAAGGGAGTTTTTCCATTTAAAGTGATATTATTCGACATGGGATTATTTATTTATTTTTTAGAGTCCCCACTTGGGAAAGGATAGGCTTTTGGTGTCCCAAGTCACCGATTTAATTTGAATCCCAAATCGAGGAAAACTTCGACTTCCCAATTGGAGTCTGCGAACCAGAAATTCTGAATAAGGAATTCTGTTGACCCGAGGGAAGGTGTTAGGCACCCCCGGATCCCGTGGTTCTAGCATGGTCGCTTAAATTATTATAATTGGCTAAAAATCTGATTTTTATACATGTTTTTGACTTATGTGCTTTTTAACTTTAAACCGCTTTTATTATTGTTTTTTAAGAGAATTACAACGTCGTGAAAATGCGTCTCGAACCACGTCACATAAATGCACCCGCGGTTTTTGACACATTTCGACTTCGTTGGAATTTGGAGTTGGGTCACATAAATGTTCACCCGTATTTAAGAAGGTAAACTTATTAAAAGCGCGCCTAAAGTAACTAGCGTCTTATTAAATTTTGCGGGAAGCCATGAAAATTCGCTAAATGGCATGTCCCGAATTTCTAAAATATTTTTAATAAAGCATTTAGTGAAGGCCCCGCAATTTATGCATTTTTGTTTGGCGGGGCTCGTCTCATTTTATTATTTTAAGGCCAACCTAAAGCAAACTACGATTTTCTATTTAATTTTATCTCTAAAGGGCCTAATTAATTAATTAACAATATCAGTAAACTATCAATTAAGGAATCCGGACCCTCAAACTCAAGTCCACACCTGAACAAGAGGAAAACCTCTTAGTTCAAATGTGCTACCTAGCTTGAGAGGCCCAAAATTAACAAATATCTTTTAGCCTTTAGCTCAATAGTTTGACCAGTGGGGTAGAGCTTTCAACAGTGAAGAATTCGAACCCAGCCCGAGCAATTGGTCGATTTATTCATAAGAGGGCTGCTTAGCATTTGGGCCTGATGACGGGATCCAGGCCCAGGGCGTGCTGGTGCAAACATTACTAAGTGTGGCGATTTTGGGCATGGCGTGTGAGCCCAGTAGGATGAGGATCTTAGTGCCAACTTATAGGTCCAATTACGTGAGCAAATACACTTAGCTTCACAAATATTTTCACGTCCAGGTTCAGTATAATCCTGGAAACTTGGACTCAAACTCAGTATATAGCATAGACAATTTTTAATAACAGCTCCAATTGACAATATGATTGATCACTCAGATTATTTATGTGTTTCTCCTAATGTACCCACTTGTGAGACACTTGTGATGATCAATGAAGCAAAATTCAACTACAGCATGCAACATGACCCCTAACTGCTTTTATACCCAGAAACGTGCAGTCTAAATCGAATTCCATTTTTTAACATAATCACATCTATTTGAGTGTTCAACTACACATGAGGACTTGGACTTTGTTTTCAAAATAATACTAACAGCTCAATCAACTACTGAATATACTTACCCTAGGCTAATTAACAGACCAATACAAACTGATAATCGTAAGCCGTCCAAATCCATTTTAAAGCAATCCTAATTATACAGGCCATGCGTCTCTTGTTCAAGTAAATAAAATTTAAAACTACATCACTACATCACATATTATTAATATCTATCCAACTACTGGTGTATTCAAAAATGCACAGTTCAATTAGTACAAAGTAATCAACAATTCTGGAAGTAAGCTAAATCATACTCATGCTTCCATCTCATTTCATTATCAGCTGATGATTTACAAGAAATTGAGGCTCAGACATGTACCTGAAAATCAGAGAAAAGTAAGAAGAAGGAAGAGTCAGCGGCAGTACACAACAGTCAGCAACTCGAATCAGCAATACATAAAACCAATCTCAAGACTAATGTGATATCACAGCCCCAGGAGAAATTAACAGAGAATCAGCAGCAATAAAACAGCCGAAAACAGCTTGAGCTAGACCCAAAATGACTTGAAATTGAAGCTAGAACAATAGGAAACTCAGATGAAAATCAGCTTGCAATCAAACTCAAAGTTTAAGGCAACAACATTTTTTGAACTTTTCTATTAGATTTTGTATGTTTTTGGATTTCAGCAGGAGGTAAGACCTAAAGTGATGATTTCTACAGCTATACAATCTCAAATTTGAACCTCTTGATTGTTGAGGCTCAAATTTAAATTTCAGAATTGAGGAAGGGGATTTTTAAGAGCTGGAGAGCTTTTTTTGGATTTTTTTTTAGGATCTAAAACATGTTTTTTTTGGGGAATTTTCAGATTGTTCCAAACTTGTTAAACAAGGCAATGGTGTGCCCTTTTATACGCAAAGTCTAGGGCTACCTTCAGATTTTCAGTTTTCTTTTTGGTCCTTACTCATTTTCAGCTTTTAGTCCCTTATTTTTTAACTTGCTACCCAAGTTACTATCCTAAACTTGCTGAAATCTAACTTGAGCCCTATTCTAGAAGCTTCTAGAGAATTCTATTTTAGTTACTACAAGATTCCTTCTCTTTGAAATGCCTAACTTACCCTTTTATCAACTGAAATTACTAAATCAACCAAACTAACTCTGAAAATTAGTTAACCCTAGTTCGAACTAACCAAGGTTAGTCAAACAAGGGTTAGCCTAGTCAACTATACCCAAACAACTAAACTAAGCTTAAGGATTATTTGAAAACAAACATGGAACTAAAGAACGACCACTGATTAAATTGAAATGAACTAAACTAAGCTAATCAACTAACTAATATAGGATTACTAGTTAAACGAACCAAAACCAAACAGTGCCCAAGCAGGACCAATTAAAGATCATCAAGAACATAGTCCAAAACACAAAAATCAAACTTAATAGAATAAACTTAAATCATACATGAAGAAAATTTAAGCAAGACCAAAAATGTAAACGAAATTCTGAACATGATTAACCCTAATTTTAAAGAACTCAAATCACAACTAATATTAGCAAACGACAGATTATTACTATTGATTAACAGAAAAGCAAACAAATAAAAAGACAAATCCACACACTTAAACACTGGTTCAGACGAGTTGATAAGAAAAGATGAGAAAAACAAACAAAACCAAACCCTAAATTAACTAATCAGAAAAGAACGACAAGCATGAAGGAGCAGCTACTCTGAATAATGGAGAAAAATAAAGAAAACTTACTCACTAAAACCCTAGGGTTCTGCTCCCCTTTTAAATTTGAAAATCAATCAGCTCCGGTGAAGTTCAAGTGCTACTGATGATGGATTCGTCATGAAGGAGGTGAGGAGGTCGTGTGACATCAATTTGATGAGATTTGGAGCATTTTAGGGTTTAGGCCGAGTTTTTTATTTAAAATTCGAGGATATGTAGGGGGATTCAAATGAGGATGGCCATGGATTTGGAAAGAAGGCCTTGGGGAGAGCACATGGTGTAAAACTGGCGTCGTTTGGTGGTGGCGCCGCCGTGGGCGGCGGAGGCGGCGCCTAGGGTTTTACAGATTTGAGGGTTTTGGTTGGGGTTTGAGGTAAGATGAGGGTGGATTTGGGAAGAGCGGAGCGAGGAGAGAAGACGGTACAAATTTGGGCGTCATTAGACGCCGGCCGCCGCCGTGAGGCGATTTCCGGCAGCGGCGTAAGGCGGAGCCTGCAGGGAACGACGAGTACGAGGAAGGAGGGCCTGTCTCTAGGGTTGAGACAATGTTCGGACAATTTTATTTTTAAACCAAGATCAACTCAGGGTCGTTGGATTGGGAAG